ATCTGAGAGCCCATTTGCTGTATCACAATAACACTGTGTACAACCATGTTGCTTCGGGGCCCTCCCTGGTGGCACAAAGGGGTAAGTCTCAGCACTGTGCACCTATCATCAGCCCCGTGGCCTGAGTCCACCCCCGGCCGGGGAGTGACCACCAGGCGCCGCAGACCCATCCCGTGTCCCCGCTGCTGACCCCTCAAGCAGCGGGTCTCGGTAGAGCTGGGGTGCAGGCCAGAGGGGAGGGCTGAGGACTCCCCAGAGACAGAGTGGGGCGTGGAACAAGCTGATCCACTGAGACCCGCTGCCGAGGGGCCCGTGGAGGCCGAGGGCCGTGGCCCCGGGCGCCTCCCGCCGGGATAACAGTGGCTGCCCAAGCTTGAGAGCACTGAGCCTCTGCTGCGGGCCGGCCGGGGAGGCCCTTGCGCATTTTGCAGCTGGAATCTTTGAAAGCGTCTGTGTTCAGGTGGAACAGCACGGGCGGTCTTTCAGGTGCAGCTTTGAGGAGTCTGAACAAGCAGAGACACCCCCGTGGGCCTGGAGCGCGGCTCCGAGGGGGCTCCCTAGCCCATCTGTTTCTCCCACCCACCTGCTTCGTGCTGTGACTGGCAAGCGCGTGTCTGCTTTCCACAGGCAGACTGCACAGTTTCACGTGCTTTTCAACAGATGATTTCATTTTTTTCAGATTTTGTTTTTATGTAGAAAAACTGGGGTACAAGTCAAAGGTGCGGGGGAGGGTGTTGAGAGGACTCCCCAGAAACAGAGTGGGGAGCAGAACAGTTGATCCACCGAGACCCAGTGCAGAGGGGGCAGCGGGGAGACAGGAGGGGTCACTGCCTGGCAGGGGTGGACGCAGGCCGCAGCGGCTGCAGACGGCGCCACCGTGCTGAGACTCACCCGGCGCCCCGCCAGCCCCCACGGGTGACGTTCGGATAAGGACTGGCCTGTGTACTTACACGGTTGCCAGCGCAGTTTGGAGACTTTGTGGGTGCAAGCCGCTGTCTGCAGCCCAAAGAAGCTGCTCCGGGCAGGTCTGTGGACATGAGACCAGGAGACAGCCCAAGCCCCGCTCCTCAACTGCTCGAAGAGAGGAGGGGCAGAGTGGGGCTCGCCAAGCCCGGGATGAAACCGCAGCTGGGATCGTGCCCTGCTTAACCGGCACGCAGCAGCTTCTCACCCCAGGGTGGTCTCCAGGAGTGTATTTGCTGATTATAAGACGCATAGTCCAGCCCGCCATGGTGGCGCATCGGGTCAGGACCGCAGCCCCTTCAGTGCAAGTCGATCCCCGCCCCGGAGCTGACCCACAGGAGCAGCAGACCCCCCTGTCTCCCCGCTGCTCCCCTCAGCAGTGCCCTTCAGTGGCTCAGGCTGCTCTGCTCCCCACTCTGTCTCTGGTGGGTCCTCTCACTGCCCCTGCAACTCTCATCTGTACCCCAGGTGTGTGTGCGTAAATAAATCATCTTTAAGAAACACTGCGTAGCCCATGTTCAATGCCCGTTTTTTAAAATATAATAACATATTTTTACAGCATTTTGTGCCTTTTTTCATCTCAATTGCGATCCCCGTGGGCTTCCCATCACCAAATCA